CTGCTGCCGGCGGCCGCGGCGCTGCCACTGCTGGCGCTGCACGCCCGCCGCCCGCCGCCCCCTCCCAGCGCCACCGTGCCCCCCGGCAACGCCACGGAGCCGCCGCGGCCGCCGCGGCACCCGCTGCAGCCGCCGTACCCCTACCCCTACCGCTTCCTGCTGAACCACCCCGACAAGTGCCGGGAGCGGGCGCCGTTCCTGGTGCTGCTGGTGGTGACGTCCCCGGCCGACCTGGCGGCGCGCGACGCCGTGCGCCGCACCTGGGGCGACGAGGGCGCCGTGCCGGGGCTCTCGGTGCTGCGGCTCTTCCTGCTGGGCCTGCACCCCGTGTTCGGCGCCGAGCTGCGCCCCGTGCTCGAGGAGGAGGACGCGCTGCACGGCGACCTGCTGCAGCAGGATTTCCTGGACACCTACAACAACCTGACGCTCAAGACGCTGATGGGGCTGGAGTGGGTGAGCCGCTTCTGCCCCAACGCCAGCTACGTGATGAAGGCCGACCACGACGTCTTCCTCAACCTGGAGTACCTGGCGGGGCTGCTGCGGCCGCCCAGGACGGATTTCCTGACGGGCTACGTGTACCGCTGGACCGGGCCGCTGCGGAACCGCGCCTACAAGTGGTTCGTGCCGCGGGAGGTGTACCCCAACGACACCTACCCGCCCTACTGCGGCGGGCCCGGCTACGTGCTCTCGGGGGACCTGGCGCTGCGCGTCTTCAGCGTGGCGCAGACGCTGCCCGTCATCAACATGGAGGACGCCTTCGTGGGCATCTGCCTGCACGCGCTGGGCGTGGGCGTCACCGACCCGCCGCCCGGCGCCTTCGCCATGTACCGGCTGGACTACGAGCGCTGCCGCTTCTCGCGGCTGGTCATGGTGCACCACTACGGGCCCCAGGAGCTGCTGCGGGTGTGGCCGCACTTCCGCAACGCGTCCGTCCGCTGTCCCTAGGGAGGGGACGCGCTGGGCTCTGACCGTGTCGCTGTCTGCTGGTTGTCACTGGGATCTCTCGGTGTCACTGGGATCCACTGGTGTTACTGGGAGCCGCTGGTTGTGACTGGGATCTCTCAGGGTCACTGGGATCTCTCTGTGTCACTGGGATCCACTGGTGTCACTGGCAGCCGCTGGCTGTGACTGGGATCTCTCAGTGTCACTGGGATCCACTGGTGTCACTGGGAGCCGCTGGTTGTGACTGGGATCTCTCAGTGTCACGGGGAGCCACTGGTGTTACTGGGATCGACTGACTGTAACCGGGATCTCTTGGTGTCACTGGGAGCCACTGGGAGCTGCTGGCTGTGACTGGGTTCTCTCCGTGTCACTGGGATCCACTGACTGTAACTGGGATCCACTGGTGTCACTGGGAGCCACTGGCTGTGACTGGGATCTCCCAATGCCACTGGGATTCACTGGTGTCACTGGGATCCATTGTCTGTAACTGGGATCTACTGACTGTAACTGGGATCTCCCAGTGTCACTGGGATCCACTGGTGTCACTGGGATTCGCTGGCTGTAACTGGGATCTCCTGGTGTTACTGGGATCCACTGACTGTAACCAGGATCTCTCGATGTCACTGGGATCCACTGTCTGTAACTGGGATCTCCCAGTGCCACTGGGACCCACTGGTGTTACTGGGATCTCTCCTGTAACCGGGATCCACTGGTGTCACTGGGAGCCACTGGCTGTGACTGGGATCTCCCAGTGCCACTGGGACCCACTGGTGTTACTGGGATCTCTCCTGTAACCGGGATCCACTGGTGTCACTGGGATCTCCCGGTGTCAGCCCGCGCCTGGTCCTGGCTGCGGAGCATCCACTGAACCTCGGGGTCCCCCCGGGGCGTTCCTGTCCCCTGAGCCTGGAGCAGCTGCTCCACCCCTTCCCTGAGCTGCTGTTTGGTTATCGAGGATCGACCGGGGCCGGGATCCGCCCGGATCTGGGATCCGCCGCGCCGCGTTAACTTATATCCAAAGTTTTTAATAAAAGGCCTGGAGCCGCGTCTGTGCCGCTGCCGCCATCCCGATGGATCCGCGTCGGGAAAGGGCCCTGGCGCTGGGATGTGCCTCGCTCTGGGCAGCATTCCCGGTGTTTGCCAGGCCGTGCCCCGCTCCAGGTGCCGTTCCCGGGGCTCCCCAGGATGTGCCACGTTCCAGGCATTGTTCCCGGTGTTTGAGGGGCCATTCCGGGTATTTGAGGGGCCGAACAAAAAAACCAACAAAAACCCCCCTCCTCCCCAGGATGTGCCACGTTCCAGGCATTGTTCCCAGTGTTTGAGGGGCCATTCCGGGTATTTGAGGGGCTGTGCCCCGCTCCAGGTGCCGTTCCCAGGATGTGTCACATTCCAGGTGCCGTTCCTGGTGTTTGAGTGCCCCACTCCGGGCATCACTCCCGGCGTTTTCCAGGGTCCAGAACCACCGGCACAAGACTCATCCAAAGGAGCCACAAGGCCCCAGTTCAACCCCAGTTCAACCCCACAATGCCCTCAGGTCAGCCCCACTTCAACCCCAGTGCCCCCAGTTTGGCCCCAGTTCAATCCCAGACCTCTGAACTTAAGGGGTTTAAGGGACAAATACTTGGAATTTAGTTTTGGTGTTTTTATGAGAATCCTCCCAGTGTTGGGGTTTGGAGGTGCAGAACGTATTGGGAGCCCGAACCATCCCAAATTTTGGGTTTATTTACCTCCTCCATCCCCCTCCCTCCCAACCTCCGACCCCTTCCCCAAAAAAAGTGAAACCACCAAAGCCAGAAAATACCGAAAAAAGCTCCTTTTTAACGCACTTCACAAAAGCAGAACAACGAGGGCCCGTCCCCCAGCCGGGGCCTGGGAAAAGGCTCCAGAATTGGATTGACTTCCCCGAAAAAAAAACAACCAAAAAACAAAACAAAACAAAAAAACCAACAAAAACGAAAAAAAACCCCAAAAATAATAATAATAATCCTATTTAGACCAAGTCGTCGTGGCAACTACGACCCATTAAATAGAGGCCCAGGGGCGGCGGGCGCGGGGCGGCCGCCGGTGACGGGTCACACAGAGCAACGGGGTGGGGGGAAAAAGGGCTAAAACCCGGAGGATCCCGGGGGCAGCGCGGCGGGACACGGGCGTTTATCTGTACTGGTAACTCATGCTGTGCTCGTTCCTGCCGTATCCACCCTGGGACGCCTGGTAGGAGCTGGGGGGGCCGCTGTAGTTCTGGGAACCCGGGGAGTTGTAGTTGGACTGGGAGGAGTATCCACCTGCGGAGAGCACCGGGAGGAGGAGGAAGGAGGAGGAAGAAGAAGGAGGAATTAGGGTGGCCGTGGAGCTGGAGCAGGGCCCCAAACCCGGCGGCGGGGGGGTGTCAATACTGACCTGCCTTACCTTGGTACGAGGAGCCCCCGCCCCCGGAGCCCCCGTAGCCCCCGTGGGAGCCCGAATTGTAGGAGCCGCCCCCGGAGTAGTTGTTGCCACCGCCGCCGCGGCCGCTGTTGCCACTGTAACCTGGGAACGGGGAAAAAGTGGGGATGAGGACGTGGGCAGGGACCCCAGCACCCTCAGTTCAACTAAGCCAAGCTCCCCTCAAGACCCTGAAATTCCAGGAGGATTTGGGTGCAAAGGGATCTCATCCGACCCTGCCAGGGGCATTCTTGGATTATCCCCTAGGAATGTGCCCAGGGCTGGGCACCCACCCCCTCCGTCCCTTCTCCCTGTCAGACTCATCCCAGCTCCAGCCCCAAATCCCTCTTTCAACCCAAACCTCCCCTTATTTAACTCAAACCTCCCCTTTAACCCAAACCTTCCCTTATTCACAGCTCCAGCCCCAAATCCCTCTTTTAACCCAAACCTCCCCTTATTTGCAGCTCCAGCTCCTCCAGGGGCCAGAAGAACCCCCTGGAGCTCCCTCCTGCCTGCCCCAGCCCAGAAGGGTCACCAGGGTCCCCCCTCCAGCTGCTGCAGAGACAACCCTGAAACAGCTTTGACCCAACTTTGGGATCAAACCCAAGCTCACCCCATAACTCCAGACCTCTCCCCCTCTCCACTCACTGTATTTGCTCTCGTAGTTGTAGTCGGAGCCGCCGCCGGGCGAGTTGTAGGAGTTGGAGTAGGAGTAGCCACCCTGGCCATGGCCGTAGCCTTTCTGCTTGCCCTGCCCGGGGCCGTAGCCGCCGTACTGGCCCTGCCCGTAGGGCTGCTGGCCCTGGTGGGTGCCGTAGCCGGAGCCGTACGAGGCCTTCTGGCCGCCGCCGTGCTGCTGCTTCTTGCCGCCGTGCTTGGGCGGCGCGGGGGCCGTGTAGCCGTCGCCGCCCTGGTAGTAGGAGCCGTAGCCCGAGGAGCCGCCGCCGCCCCCCGAGTTGGAGTGGCCTCCGTTGCTGTAGAACTGGCCTGGACAGAGAGAGGAGGGTCAGTGATCCCGGGGGGGTCAGCTCCTCCGGAGGGGAGGAGGGTTTGTGAGGCTGAGCGTGGTCCGGAGCTGATGGAGACCCCTCAGCTGGCTGGGAACACAGTGGGACCCCCCCCACAAGTGCAGAACCCCCCATGTGGATCTGTCCCCGTGATTCCGTTCCCATCCAGACCCCCCCATCCGGGCCCATCCCTGTGATTCCAGAAGGATCCATCCTGTGATTCCAGCAGGATCCATCCTGTGATTCCAGCAGGATCTGTCCCTGTGATTCCAGCAGGATCCATCCCTGTGATTCCAGAAGGATCTGTCCCTGTGATTTCAGCAGGATTCATCTGGATCCATCCCCGTGATTCCAGCAGGATCCATCCTGTGATTCCAGCAGGATCTCCTATCCGGATTGATCCATCCTGTGATTCCAGCAGGATCCATCCCTGTGATTCCAGCAGGATCCATCCTGTGATTCCAGCAGATCTCCCATTTGGATCCATCCCTGTGATTCCAGCAGGATCCATCCTGTGATTCCAGCAGGGGACCCCCCCCACAAGTGCAGAACCCCCCATGTGGATCTGTCCCCGTGATTCCGTTCCCATCCAGACCCCCCCATCCGGGCCCATCCCTGTGATTCCAGAAGGATCCATCTGGATCCATCCCTGTGATTCCAGCAGGATCCATCCTGTGATTCCAGCAGGATCTCCCATCTGGACTGATCCATCCTGTGATTCCAGCAGATCTCTCATTTGGATCCATCCTGTAATTCCAGCAGGATCTCCCATCTGGATCCATCCCTGTGATTCCAGCAGGATCCATCCCTGTGATTCCAGCAGGATCCATCCCTGTGATTCCAGCAGGATCTGTCCCTGTGATTCCAGCAGGATCCATCCTGTGATTCCAGCAGGATCCATCCCTGTGATCCCCGCAGGATCTATCCCTGTGATTCCAGCAGGATCCATCCCTGTGATTCCAGCAGGATCTGTCCCTGTGATTCCAGCAGGATCCATCCTGTGATTCCAGCAGGATCCATCCTGTGATTCCAGCAGGATCTGTCCCTGTGATTCCAGCAGGATCCATCCCTGTGATTCCAGCAGGATCCATCCTGTGATTCCAGCAGGATCTCCCATCTGGACCGATCCATCCTGTGATTCCAGCAGGATCCATCCTGTGATTCCAGCAGGATTTCCCATCTGGATCCATCCTGGGCCCCCTTCAACCCTACGAAGTCCAAACACCGTCCCGGAGTGAGAGATGCTCTGGAGTGAGGGAGAATCCTGCTCCAGGAATGAGGAATCCACGTGACTGCACCGTTTATCTTCCTGGGATTTGGGTAATTCCACCTGGGACTTCATCTGGGTTGGATTTCATCTCTTCAGGGTCCCACAGCCAAACTCTGAGCGCTTCTTTTCCTGCCCAATTCCTGCCATTCCATGGAGAACTGGGAGCATCCAAAACAAAACTTCTTTTTGAGGAAAAAAATCCACCAAAATCGAAAACCCTGTGGGATCAGGAGGGATCTGCCAGCAGCAAAATGGGGCAGAATTTGGTTAAAAAGGATCCAAGGAGTGAAATTCCATGTGCTTCACTTCTGCAGTCTCATGTGGAACACCCAGGCTGATCCCAGGTGAATCCCAGCTCTGTCCCCAAATCCCAAGAGCTCCTGGAAGCTTTAAATTCTGGGATCCGTTAATTCTGGGATCATTTAGTGGATTCTCTTCCACATCTCCTTTTCCACGTGAAGTTTTTCCACGGAAAATCCCGGATTCACTCGGCAGAAACGAGGCTCTGGAATAAATTTATCTCCAGGGTCGGAGCAAAACTTTTCCCTGCTGGACCAGAGTCCCCTTGGGCCATCCCAGTGGGAAAATCCTGGGGTTTGGATCCAGGAGCGTGGGGGTTCAGGCTGCAGAGCTGCAAGTGGAGCTCTCCCACCCCAGATTTTCCACTTTATCCCAACATTCTGAGTGTAATTCCAAAGCTTTCATGCTTGACACGGGATTAGCTGTGATTTCCCCCAAATCAGGGACAGAAATATCCAGCACCACGTGGTGGCTTGGGAAGGGCAGGGGCTGGGGTGGGAGGGATCCTAAAGATCATTTCTGGATCATCCAGGATGGGATCTGTCCCCTGGATAAAGAGTCAGGACCTCCAA